GAATTATGGATGATTTAATTTCAACATCAAAGATTGGTGTCCACTTAAAAATTTTCCTAGAACAATTATTGACAAAATAAGAACATTGTGCAAACACACACAGTTGTCTAGGTCATTGACAAGTTTTATTAAAACATACTTGGGATTAAGAATGGTAATAGAAAACTCACCATTGAGCTTAAGGTTAAAAAAAATGTGAATAGCCTCAAGTGACAGTCTATGCGAAGGGAATTTGCGAATCAAAACAAACTAAAATTAAAAGGAGTTGCTAACACTAAAATTTCTGCTTCAGAAATCCACAATGATGGCAAACTGCGGAAGGAAGAAATTTTGAGATCCGGGAAAATAGAGTTGAAAGAACCACTAGATAAAGCATCGCAGAAAGACTTCGAAGTAGATTTTCCAGCCAAAAAAATGATCAACTAAGCGCTTGCCTTCCATCGACAAAAAATAATTGGGAGAAACCAGCTGAAAGAAAACCCAAACAAAAATTAAGAAGAAAATAGAAAAGGAGAATTTAGAACTTCCCTGAGAAGAGAAGAGTCATCAGCGGCCACGAAAAGGGCAGCAGAGAAAAAAGCTCCAATCGAGACAAAAAACCTAATAGAGCATCCAGAGCGCATGAAAGGAATATCAATTTTTAGTAATCTCTTGGCAATACATTTATTGACCAAATAATTCCTTAGAAAGAAATCATTTTGTTTCAAATCTCATGCAGTAGATGTTTGGATGTATGATATATTTTTAGGGTTTATGTTATCTTTGGAGCTGTTTGGTTTGATACCTTAAATGCTTTTGTCACCTTTGATTTTTTACTCCTTTGCCTTTTGGTTTTGACATTTTGGACATAGGTTTTTATATAAATGGAATTCTAATTTTTTTTTATTCTGCGGGCTTTAAGCATTGATGATCCATATTCAACTCAGTTAACTACTGTGCTGGTGGAATTTTGAACATATATTTTCATTTTATAAATACTTAACTTGACATAGAGGTTGTGGAGGGAGTATAAAATGCACCTGATTTTGCTAAGTCCCCCTCACCCATATAACTTATTTGTATACTTAATGTAAAAATTCTAAGGAAAAATTAACAACAAATCTTTTAGATTTCTATTTATTAGTAGACAACATATTTGATTGGTTAAATATAAATTAAAATAAAAAAATTTTATACTTATCGAAAGCTTTCATTATTAACCATGGGATTGAGTTAAATAGTAAAGAAGGACCCATACATTTTAATATAAAGTGTACCCATAGTTAGGAAAGAACAAACAAGCAAAAAATAGATGGAATTTCACAAATCTGGCATATCTTCTTAAAATCAGAATTGGAGAAAATGATTCAGTTGATTTCGAGCAATAAATTTAATAACACAAGTATTTAGTGCTTCTAATCTTCCTTCTTCGTTAAGAGGTTTGATTAACCTGGACAAATGCGGGCTTCCTTATCTTTGTAATGCTTAAATGCCCTGTTCTGATTTTTCTGTTGTTTTTTGGCGGGCTTGTGATTTTCTCTGCTTGGTTTGCTGGTGGTTGCTAATTCTGGAGGGCTTTGAGGTTTCTTCTATTGTTGATGATTTTCTAGGTTGTAATTATTTGGCTATTAGGTGGCAATTGGTTCTGGTTGTTGGCTGGCTGCTTAATATGTTTAGGAGTTATGTGGGGAGCTATTTTATGTAGCATTTTTTTGCTCCAGGAGATTGGGAACTTTGGTTGGCTTGTGAGAAGCTTGGATTCTTCTTATTGTTTCTCTTTTAGTAAAATTTTTACTGGTGATCTTTGCAGCTTCACGTTGATTACTCTGTTCTTTAATTTATTGGCTGCTTGTGAGCTTCTCCCTATTTTGGTTGGTGCCTGCTTGGCTTTGAGTCTTATTGATAATATTCATTGCTCTATATCTGTTAAGCCTGCTGCTCTCATCCAGATTTTGATTTTTTATGTTATGGGTAATACCAATATGAGAACTTTCTGTATATGCTATGTTCTTTGTTTTTGTTTTGTGGTACCTTAATGACTCTCAATCAAACAGTGGCTATTGTTGCTCTCCTGGAAGGGTTTGACAATTCTCTTTCTTTTTTATATGTCAAATGTTTAAATATCTAGTACTCCTTCCATTATTGTTGTCAAATTACCTTTTTGTGTTGGAGTGTTTTCTTTTGTGCAGATCTGGTGGCCAGAAATTTGGCTTTACAATTTTTACAGGGAGTTCACGAGCTCTAGCTTTCTGAGTTATTTGAGGTTTGCTAATTCTTTTTACAGGAAGATTATGATGGATGCTATTATTTTCCTCTTCCTTTTTTGGGTGATATCTACTTGTAGCCCTAGAATGTACTTAAGTTTTTTTGTAATCCATAGTATAAGGAACCGCCTGCTTTTAGGATTTATTTTGCTTTCTCTTGTAGCTCTTATGAGTATTAGCGAGCTGGAGGTTCCTTTTAAGGACCTTGTAACCCCTTTTTTTGGTATTAACGCGTAGGCCCCTCAGTGGGTTTTAACTAAAAAATAATAATAAAATAACACAATTATTCTATGAATAAACAGTTGCAAATGATCATTTTTACAACCAGTTTAAAACAATTTGGCCTATGGATTACTTTTATCAGTTTAATTTGACGGTCCCCTCTCATAGCAATAAGTTAGATTGGTTCTATTTTTATCTCCTGTAAATAGGCATGTTCTTTCATCATTTTATGAAAATGCAAAATTAAAATCAATACAAATTAAATTTCTTATATCCAAATATTTTCTTAACGATTCAACAACAAAGTTTTTATTATATATCAATTAAAAACTTAGCTTGTTTGGAATAGCTAGCTTTTGTAATGCTTTCTAATATAGTTTTTTAGCATAAAATTTTTTGAAAACAATAAAATATCAAAGAACAAAATCTGCCCCAAATGAACCCTTAATCACTTAATTTGCCATAAGGAACAAAACTTTATTTTCACGAGTTGAGGGACAATTAATATATACGGACAATAGTGTAAATCTAAGACTTCGTTTGTGATAACTTTTTTACTGCTTCTTAAAATAATTTTTTAGCATAAAAACTTTCATTTTTATACTAAAAATTGCATTAAGAAGTAATAAGAAATTCATCCCAAACAAAATCTAAGGTTTCATTTGGGACAGTTTTTTAACTGCTTCTTAAAATAGCTTTCTAATAAAAAATTCTAATTTTGTACTAGAAAACTGTTTTAAGAAGCAATAAAAAGCCGGCTTCATTTGGGACATGTTTCTTAATACTTTCAAAAGTAGCTTTTTAGAACAAATATGTCTGATTTAATAAAAATTTTAACTGAAAATTAGTTTATAAGGCAATACAAAAGCTCTTCCAAATGAGGCCTAAGTAATCATGACATGGCAGTAGGTTAGAGATAATAGTTGATGCAGTATTATATGGAGAATATTTTACATGAAACTAAGGAAGATTTTAAGGTTAAACTGTTGTAGTGTGTGTGACTTCGTCATTCTCAACTTCAGCTGGTTTCCCCTTTCACCAACAGTTCTTCGATGATGCAAAAACCTCAGTTAATCACTTTTCTCTTTCATAATTTTTTTTTTTTTTTATCTTTCTCCTTTTAGAGCTCCGAATATGGTGGACCCATTTAAAGGTAACGTTAAAAATACGTTTATTTAAGTAAGCAAAAATAATTATGTACACTTAAGCTAATTTGGGACGATTTTTTTACTGATTCTTAAAATAAACTTTTAGTCAAAAAAAATTTAACTTAAAAGTTGTATAAAAAGCTAGTTAAAAAAGCAGTGAAAAAGCTATTTCAAATGAAGTCTTAATTAATCTTTAATTACTAGACATATTTATATATAAACATTATTTTTGGAAATGTTATAAATAAACTTGATAAATATTATATCTTTATATATAATTTTAGTATAATTTCAAAGTATATTGCTTAATTTAAGTGTAAGAATACACTAAGAATCCCCTTTTTTTTTAATCATAATTCATAAGTACATGAAGAGATTCAGGAATGAAGGAAGAGGGGTAAAAATCAAAGAGATTATGATTGGGAGAAATAGAATAAAAAATTAGCTCGAGCCTGCTTTGATCTCCCTCTCTCTCTCTCTCAGCTCTGGGTGCTGAATATATCCGCCACTTGTCCTGCCACACTGCAGCAATTGACGCCAGGATCAATGAAGAGAGACTTTGTGCCGCTGCTCGATCATAGCTGTTCATGTCGCACGAGATGATCACGGCATATATACATCTACCAAATGCGATCCATGATCACGATGAAGGCCATTATCAGATCAGGACTGACTTCTTCCTCCATGAAGAGGCTGAACACGTCTTTGTCAAGCACCATCGACGGGCTTACCTTCTTCGGTGATATCGAAGCTAATACCTGTCCTTCCCTTGCACGAATTTTGCAGCACCTCTTCTTGAAGCATCCTTCAATTGTAAAGTCTGCAACCGTGGCGCCACCTCCACCACCGCCGTCTCCGGACATGAAGACCTCCAGGAGGTCATTCCGGTTGTGAACAAATGAACGCCTTCTCATACTGAAGAGCTGGGATTTGGACTTCTTTTTCAAATTGTCTCCATCTGATCCTTTGTATCCTTTCCATTGGTCATACATGCTCATAATCTGTGTGGAAGCAATGGATGCATGCAGTGAGCCTTAGCATGGCTGAAAACAAATTAATCCTACAAGGAATTCCTCATATATAATTCCTTGCGATTTCTGCTCGTTGCAGTGCAGAGATCGTTTATGTTTTAGGAATATAAATCTCTATTGATTAAGAATATTTGTATAGGAGAAGGCTTAAGTACCGCTGCAGAAATCCTGTCATTACCGTCGGACTTTCCGGCAGGTATATATGTCAGGAAAAAGCGGCGGAGTAACCGGCAGAATATACACCGGTAATTTTACTGCGAAATTATCGGCGTAAATACCGCCGTGATGATAATAAGCCATTTTCCTGTAGAGTATTATAGAACGGGAAAAAAAATTTGCTGTAGATCTATGTATACCTGAGGTCTGAGAGACAGAAGTGGCCTTCCAATTGGATCCATAAGCAAAAGCTCTCCAATAAGAAACTTGTTCTTCCTGGAATAGTTGTCCACCCGAAAGGCTAGCTTGCCATCTTCATCATATACAGAGAAGCCATCAGATCCTACGAAAGACATGCTAGACTTCTTCCATACAGTCCATGCTTTAACGAGCTTCTTCGTCTGTTCCTCGCCATCCTTCACTTGAATCTCAGAAGGGTAGATCTTCGAAGACATATCTAAGCGTAAAGAGAGGTGTGGAGAAAGTAAAAGGCTTTGAGTAGTGTTGTGAAGAGTGGTAGAGGCCGGCTTCAGTTGTGTTCTTTTTAAGGGAGAGATGTGTAGCTTCAGATGTTGATATGTGAATTAATTATAGCTGTTTTGATAATGGAGAACCACTACTTATTAATTTTGACCCCAATTTGGATTGGTTATTAGAGTGGAAGCTGCGTAGGAATACCATCTTTTGGACACAGTGTTGGATAGCTTTGGCCTGCTGGTTGTATGGTATACGGAAGTTTCCTGGTCATTAATGGTTACTTTACTTTTTTTTTGGGACATTTAGGCCATTTAAGGCAAACTCACACACACAACGCATACACATAGACTCGAACCCTGGACCTCTTAGTTGAAAGCCTAAGCTCTTAACCAATAGGCCAAGGAGAGTTGTGTCGGTTACTTTACCTTCCGTCCACTTCTTAATAGCTGTAAACACAGCAGGATTGGTTGCAGAGGAGATTAACTTTTAATTATAAGCACCTTTTTAAGCTGTTACATAGGTCATATACATTAATATGAGGAGAAAACTAAGAACCAAATTAGAGGAGATGGTGCCGTCATTTATTGTCCAAAAAATTTTAGATATTCCTCTTCAAACGCAAGTTAAAGATGTGTTTTTATTTTCTCTGTCGTCCTCTGGTAATTTTTGTTTAAAAGATTGTTGGAATGCTTTAAGAGTTAAGAAAGATACTTCTTTATTATACTCAGCTATCTGGCATATCAACTTTCCTCTTTCTTATTCTATTTTACTTTGGCGGTGTATCAAAGATTATATCCCCGTGGATTCTAGACTTCAGATGAAAGGTTTTAATATGGCTTCCAAATGCATGTGTTGTTCGGATATTGAGGATATTAACCATTTGTTCATTTCTGGTATCATTGCTCAACAAGTTTGAAATTTCTTTAATAATATTGCGTCCAAGCCGGTATGGAATATGCAGGATGATTTTATTTCTGTTATTAAAAATTGGTTACATATTTCTAAAGGTCATATCTGCAATCTCATTCCTATTCTTATTGTGTGGTTTATTTGGAGAGCGCGTAATGATGCCAAGCATAATGGTATCAAGATGGATGCCATGATCATTATTTCTAATGTTAAACACAAGATTTCTCAATTGCATTCTCACAAAATGATTTCTAAAAAGAATTTCAGAGGCTGTTATCAATTGGCTTTGAATTTGGGGATTAATTTTAGTGATATTCATGTCAATTCTGCTGATTTGTTGGTCACTTGGATTAAACCCAAACCTCCTTACATTAAACTCAATTCTGATGGTTCTATTGGTCCGAATGGTGCTGGGGCTGGTGGTATTATCAGAGATGTTTATGGTGATGTGATTGCAGCCTTTTCTGCTCCTATTTGCTGTACTTATGTTATCACTGCTGAGCTTCATGCTCTAAACTTAGGTTTGAAAATCTGTGCTAACAAAGGCTTTAACTGTATTTGGATTGAGGTTGATGCAATGCTTTTAATCCAGATCATTAAGAACACTGTGCATGGCAATCCTCAAATCTTTTATCTTATTAGAAAGATTAAAATGCTTCTCTCTAATGTTATTTACTCTATCTCTCATATATTTCGGGAAGCTAATACGTGCGCAGATTGGTTAGCTAAAAGAGGTTGCAACATATCACTTTATGAAGAGTTAGATCCTGGTGATTTACATCATATTTTACAAAGTATGATAATGATGGATAAAACTGGATTACCTTACATTAGATATGGTTAATCTGTGCTTTGTTTATTTGTCATTTCTTTCTTTTTCTTATTGTGTGTTCATTTTCTGCCCTTTGTGGATTTCGGATGCTGTCTTTCTTTCTTCTGGCTTTCCTGTTTTACTGGTTATATCATACAATCTGCGGGTTTTTCAGAGGCTACCCATCCAGGTTGATCTAAAGTTTGATATTATGAGATCTTATAACATGCTTTTTGAGTGGCAGAAGATGGATTTTAAATTTATTGTCATGGTATCCTTTTTATTGACTGGTACTTCCTCCTCGTTATTATATTTTTTCATGATGTTACTTCAGGGGTGTGTGAACTATCAGTCTCTTACCTAGGCATTTTTTGGCGTTGATAGTAATGTTATATTATTTGTTATGTGGTCTTGTTCTTGCCATTATAGTCCCAGAATTTTTGCGGTTTGGTTGCCGAGTTGCAGAAATGACATTTCTCGTTGCACCTGTTACTTTCCTCTGCTCATTTCTAACTGCAAATTCAGTATTTTCCTGTCATTGGTTTTGTGTGAACTGATGAATTATGGTTTTCCTTATACCACTGATCTTTTAATTAATATGTTGGGTGTTAGTAATGCAGGTTTTAAAGCGACTGGGATCTAGTATTTTTTTCTAGCTTATTTTTTGTTGTTCTCTTTTTTTTCTTTCTCGTATCCTATTTTTTGCAGGAACTCCGAGCTGAACGTCTATCTTCTGAGTTTCCTTTTTTGGGTGCTGCTTATTTCCAGCCCTAGGTTTAATTTTTGCTTATTTTGTAACTTTAGTAATAGGAACCACAGGCTCATAGGTTTCTTTTTCTTTTTGATTGTAGCTCGTTCGATCAGCATTAGTGAGCTAGTGGATCCTTTTAAGGACATTGTAACCTCATTTTTTAAATCAACGCGTAGGCCCCTCTGTGGGTTTTAACCAGAAAAAAAAGAAAAAAAAAAGAGAAAACTAAGTACAAAAACGAGGAAAAGAAAAGAAATAAGCTCTTTATTACTTCTTGCTTTATGCTATTTTTTATTTAATGTAGTTCTATAAATTATTATATTCAAAATACAATTGACATGTTAAATAGTCACCTTTAGATAAAAATTTTAAGAAAAACTTGAAGTGTTTTATGATTTTTTATTATTTTATAATCAATATGCTTGTAGAATTTTGAATTATATAATAATGTCTAGTCACACTTATACTTTTTGATTGCTACATAAATGATACATTTTCTTTAGTTGAAAGTTAACTTTATTCTATACAGTTCTCAATTCATAGTTGAATTAGAAACTTTCAAAGTCAAATTTGAAATGAAACTACTGCAATTTTAGCAACATATAGTTGAACCGAAAATCCTAATGTTTTTGCAAGATGAGCCTAACGATATAAAAAAAACAATCGAATCTATGTCCGAATGAACTTTGATTGAGCATTTGAAGTATAATGAAAATCTTGCAACGTTAATTTAGGACTAAATAGTTTTCAATTCTCACATGTTTATAGTTAAATTGAGCATCATAATGAGGAGAATCCAACAAACCCAACATCTAAAAATTTTCACATCATTAAAAAATCTATCAAACACTCCCTTAGTTTATCTCATATGCTCGTTTTCTTTCTTTAAAGTTATATAATTTAGCTATTTAATTAGTTTATACCCAACAATACATTACAATACTAACTTCAATATTAGAAGCGCATATGTATGTCTCTTTCCTAATTAAAACACCATAACTTAAATTAATAATTACAATTAGCTGTTCTCATTCCATTTAGATTTCAATATCATTAACATCATACTTTGACTAATCAAAATTTTCTCAAACAACAATGACAAAATCTTAATATATAAAGCAATGCATAGGTTTTTATTAATTAAAGACTCTAGTATATTTAATAGCCAACCTACCCTATCAACTTTGGATCCCGCAAGCACTTTTTATATTAATTATTTCTGTTTAGTCTTTCGCTTATTGAATCATATCAAAATAGTATCATCCTTTGAATGAAGGAGAAAAAAGGAAGACCGATTAAGAAAATATTCATCAACTAATTAATATTTGGATGGCATTTTCTTTTGTAGAACCTTTAAAATAGGAGTGAAACTTCGATTTTAGTAAACTTATAGTGGTCTTATTTTCTTAATAAAATTTTAGTTTGTGCCCCGTAAAACTCAAAATTATAGAAATATACCTAATATTTTATTTTTTGGGGTAGAAATATGCTCGGAAGTTCTATTTAGACCAAAATACATTCACTTTTGAATAAATAAGCAAATCCCTTGCTAAGTAATAATATTATGTGAGCAGACATCAGTTCCTTTATTATTTCTCGCAATTGCAAGGCATGCCTCTTCATGTAGAAATTCAAGCAATGATATCTCTCTACTTTTTAAGAGCTACTTTAGTGGGTAGAAGAAGTTACAATTGAATTTTCGGGAGTTTTCACATGATGCTAAGCTCAAAAGGATGATAAAAAGTAGTCGACTTTTTAAGAGCTACTTTAGTGGGTAGAAGAAGTTCATGAACACAAACCTTTAAAACATTGACAAATATAATTTATGGAAGCTTGAGCTATACTTGTTTGTAGATGGTGATATCCTTAACCTGATAATCATATTGCAATCTTTATTGAAATTATTCTAATATTCAAATATGAGTATACATTTTTTAAACTATCCTTGGGGTAGGATTTCATGGAAGAGGACACTACATGGTTAAGGAGATACATAATGAACTATAAAGCATATATAGTAAGGAAGAATGCCCTAAACCAGTACATTGTAACTGGATATGTCATATCACTACAATACTAGCACTACAAAAAATAATAACTATTACGGCACCTTAAAGTGTCATAATATATGTATTTATTATGGCACATGATATATTAAGGCATCAAACAATGGAGTCACTTAGGTGGCCATTGGAATAGGGTTATGGGCATATTTATGTGCCCTAAAAACTAAACTTTCATGACATATAATTTTGATGAAATAGTCTCCTCAATGACAATTGTATGGTGTCCTAATTAATAAGCTTTTCTAACACCTTCATATGATGGAATTTGTGAATAAATATGATAAATATTATGTGTTATAATAGGTTAACTTTTGTAACATATTTATTTGATATAATATGTTTAATAATGATGGAGATCTTCTGGGAGTACAAGATGAAGAATGGAGGAGGAACAAAGAAAAGGAAAACCCTAGCGAACTGTGACTAAGCTGAAGGCAAATTAAAAGTGATGTTTGGAAAATGATTTCTTGTCTACTTTGACATTGATTTGAATCAATATTGGTTTGTGTCTAAAAGTTAG